TCCCTTCCCCCATCTTCAGCGCGTCCTCTTCCATCTGCTGATTCGCTCTCCCAGGACTCCCAGGTGAGGGCGCACCCGCATGTCGCTGTCGCACCATTCCTACTCTTCTCCCTTCCTCGCCCGCCGCCCGCCCGCTTCTCTCTCTGCTCTGCTCTGCCTCTCGATTCGGCATATGACTGTATGTGCGTGTGTGTCTAGTTTGGAGGGGCGGTCGTTGGAGGGGAGGGTAAACTCGACCGCCACTTCATTAGTGCCGCCACCCGATGTGCCCCGGGGGGCGGGGTGGGGGGCACCAATTATGGAGGGACCGTTTCAGCCGCGCGGTGGCGCCCGCGCCTCGCTCCCCAGCCCCGCTTAGCGAGTTGTTTGTAAAAGGGAATCATATCGCAGGTGCACAAACTTTATTGCTACGGGGGAAAAGGTCGGGCGGCCTCAACCCATCTACGCGGGGGTTGTCAATGCCACTGTGTCGATTTGGATATTTTCGGCGGCACTAAGTTGTATATTGGATTCCGTGGCATTTTTGGATCACTGCTGCACCGTGCTTGCTTTCCGCTCGCCTTGCACACTAAAGGCTTATGAACATTTTTATTCATAGCTTACTGAGTTCTGTGTACGTGCTCTGCTTACGCATCAGTATGAACAAATTTGTTCACACCAGCGTATTTAAAAATGCGTAAGCAGAGCACGTACACAGAACTCAGTAAGCTATGAATAAAATTGTTCGTAAGCTTTTAGTGTGTGCACTCGGTCCAGAAAGTACGTCCGTCGTTCGCCGTTACGAAACTGCCAAGTTAGCTCAGCGTATGCAAGCTCTCGTAGCGCCTGATGGGTAGGCAACATCTCGCATAGAGTGCATGCGCGTACTGCGGGCTGGCCTACCCTGAGTCTCGCAGGCGCCGTCGTAGGCCAGCGCAGGGCGGCCGGCAGCCCGGCCACGTCCCCAGCCAGAGCACACACATAGTAACCAACACTCCGGTAATGTAACCATCAGGGGAAGAACTCACTTATAAGATCATATGTAATGGCATTTACACGGCAGATCTTTATTAGGGATACGGTAAACGGCATGATTTGGCAAGAACCCAATAAACAACAGTAAGCACCACAACAACCTAATATGATGTAACTAGTAACCGCTAGTAACTGAGCAGACACACACTAAGAATCCCCAAATCACCCCTGAAACGGCGCCGAGCTTCTCTGATTGTCCGAATGAATCTGAGCAAAACGGAGGTACTTTTTGGACGATCCCCTAGGGGCTCTCCCTCACGTATCGTGTTGGCATGCACAACTCGCACGATCACGCGACACTACCCTCACGTCCCTCCTCCCTCGTCTCGCTCTCGCTCGGTCCCTCGCTTTGACTGGGTCTGTTAGGCTTTCGGCCGCTCGTGGAAATAAGATCCACTTTGGGCGGCGCCCGCGTCCCCCGTGGCCGGGCCGACCCGCCCCGGGCTGGCCGCCGCCCAATCCCCTCCTTATCCTCCTCCAATTCAAGCGGCGGTGGCTTGCCCCCCCCCCTCCACCCTATCCCTCCAACCCCCTCTTGTTCCTCTCTCTCTCAAATTCACCCCCTCCTCTTCTCCCGCTCTCTCTCTCTATCTTTCTCTCGCTTCAGAGTTGCGGTTGCGGTGCGAACCACTATGAGGCTTGTGCTTAACTCGGCTTAACTTGACTCGACTCTTCACGAGCCAAGCCCCCTCCCCCCCTCCTCCTCCTCC